GTATTTTTCCCTTCACTTTCTTCATCCTTCAGAATTTTCTTTTCTGCGAGCTGTCATAAGCTCGTCGATATCGTCATTGTCATTCAATTAAACATGGACGGACACCGACGGCTTTTATTATTGATTCAAAAATATTCTTAATGGCGACATGGGAGTGGAAAAGATGTGAGTTCGTGCTTTCTATGTCAAACTGCTACAGCTGCAAATATAACTCCGAGACTGTCTTATGCTGTGCGAAAACATTGCTTACCCGACCGAATCTGCTGAACGGCTGGTCGGTGACAGCCATGATGGGCAGGTTGAAGAATACGTGCTAGCAACTTCTGACTTGAGTGGCGTAATGGCAAGACGTGCCGTCGGTATGGGTGAAACCTAAGTTCAACTCCCACCAGCTGCCGAATGTCTTGTACACCACTCAGCAGTCGTATTTCAATTGTCAAATTCATTTTGGCTGTGGTGTGCAACGTATGCGAAAGGGCTTATACGTGGATAGACAAGGGACAACGACTGGTGTCAATTTCACCATGGAAACTCTCGTAATTGGTGAGTTCTCGACTTCTTTGATTTTCGAGTATCGTTTGTTTTTCTAAATGTTGTTCACTTCCATCTGATTATGGCAATTCTTCGTTTCTAGATGGAAAACGGACAAACGCACAAATCTGGAGCATGGTGGTCAAATTTTAAACAATCACTCAATTCTGTTATCGGCTAGCGTATGTAATGTTCTATGACATTATTTGCAAGCAGATCCTTCAACCATCGACAAGGGTAACTTTCCATCACTATTTCAATTACCTTGAGAAACACTAATAGTAAAGAGTCTCCGTTCTGGTGCAACTCTTAATCAGCAAGGCACCTATGTTACCTGTTGACATATTTGAGCGCTTGCTGCGCAGTATCAGAGGTGATACTCATTGTCGGATGCAATGTCGATGGATTGACCCCGCGCTTATGGCTCGCTAAGTCATGCTTCCTTCCGGGGTCGGTAAATTGGTACCAGACTGGCTGCAGACATGCTTAGGAGGATCAACAGCTCTGATTATATACGTCGGTAGGCCACCGCAAGTTTTTTTCAAGCTTCAAACGATGCTAGATAAAGTCGATTGCACAGCGCATCCTGAAGAATTTCTCAAAGCCGAGAGTTTTATCCTTTATCCTTTTGGGTTGACTCTTTCAATAATTCACAGATACTTTCCTGTTTGTTCCAACCACGTTTGCTCTCAAACCATAATCAATTAATTCCGAAAAGAATGTTTAAATCCTAAGCGAGGATGGTACATCAGGGCCAAACACGCGTGTTTCGGTGGTCTCGCCCTCCTCGTCGGTGACTCATGCCCCACTTAAGCCCTGCATTGTAGCAAGATAGGGGCGTATGTGGTGACGGCACAGTGTACAATGGCACTGGTCCATGACGGCTTCTCAGTCGATGGATTTCGGCTGATAGAACAAGATTCATCCATGGCATCGACCGCTTTCAATGTGGGGCGTAGGTCACCGACGAGGAGGGCGAGACCTCCGAAACACGCGTGTATGGCCCTGGCGTACCAACCTCGCTAAGGCTTTGAACATTCTTTTTGAAATCATTTTGAATGTTTATTGCGAGGTTTTAAGAACAGTCACGCCATGGAGCATCACCATTTATCTCGTATGCGGGTTCCGGAATTGGAGCATCCTTGTGTGAGATTCGTAAGATTGAGAAAGACAGTTCTTGAGATGAGCAAAGTTTTGTAAGTTCTTTATCAAATCATGAAGAAACGTGTTAGAGTTCGACTTCACTTGTTAATGCTACAGCTTGAATTCTATTCTAATGATAATTTGTTTAAAAAGTTCGTTGAAATGTCATCATTGTTAAGAGTAGAAAACTAAATTTACTCTGTCAATAAATTTTTGTGAAGGTGCGATATGACGTCCAATAGTTTCTTGTTTTGAGTTGTCGTATGCTTATAGGAATTTTTTTACTGCTTTCAACAGTGGTATGATGCTTTAAATATACACCTAGGATGTTGGACGGTATGCGAAACATCCGACCCCAGGCGGGACTTGAACCCGCGTTTCACCCATACCGCTGCCGCGTGTTACCACTGCAGCAACGGAGCCACCATTTTGCTACCACCTTTTCTTCGTTATAAACCATCGTTATAGGTTGGTCGCTGGCAGCTACGGTGGGATATATCGGATACGTGGCAGGAAAGCGATTTCATCATTGTTGTGATGATAGCGCGCGCCACCACCATGGCTTGAACGCCGGTACAACTCCTGCCTACAGTTGCATGTTTTTCCTTTATCTTTCAACATTTTAGATGTCATATGTTTTTTGTTTTGTTAAGGGATATAAACATATCTTATTTTAAGCAGCAAGTTGATTTAATCCACTGTGCATGCCTAACCTTTGGAGTGCTCAACTTTTTTTTTTCTCTTTGAACGTCGTAAAAATACTGGTTGAACGCGACCCTCTGGATTCTTGAGGACAACCAGGTTACGGGGTTCGATGAGGCGTTTGCTGATGAGGGCCGGGGTATTGGGGAGTGGGGTTCGGCTCTACGTGTACTTCGACAAGCATCATGTCCACTTGGTCAAGGTGCCCTCTCCCAATGATGAGAGACTCATACCAAAATAATTGGAACATAAGTCACAGGTGATAGTGGGAGATAGAGAGTATTCTATCAATTCAAATAAATACATGCTTTTTAAGTGTTAAAAACTTTCAAAAACACAGAACAGAAATTTATAAGGTATCATACACTTGCCAATAGTGCAAGGAAGTATGTCAGGATTACCAGTGATGAGTAGCAAAATAGAAACTAACAAATTCGTAATGAAAGAGGAACATAAAGCAATAAAACAAAAAAGTGTCAAAAAGCTTCAGTGATCATAACGACAAGGTCTTTGTGTATTTCGATCCCATACTTGGTTTGAGAATACAAATTCTGAAAAACGAGACGATAATTTATAATCTGAAGGATCTTATTTCATCTTCTTCATATAATTATAAGGGCAGCATATGTTTGAGTCATGCTCTAAGTGCTATACAGGCGCCTCTTTTGTCCTACCGGGACTCATCAGTAGCATGGTCCTCGGTTCAGGCGATCCATTGACGCTATAATCCTCTATGAAGGAATCGACGCCGAGCAGTAAATCATTATAAGCTAGATCATGGAATTACCTGACGATGTAGTTATCGGCAGTCGAGCTTGTGACCTCTCGTCAAATGGGGAGGTATTTTTTATGAAAATTAATCACCGTGAAACAGAGAGATCTTCTATGGTGTCACGCCGTCTCTTTGCTCCAGCGCAGATCGAGATGGTAAGGACAGCCAAAGACAGCACCATGAGGACTAGACCAGAAAGATATACCGCAGGTTGAAGACAAAGTTCTGAAATCTCAAAAAGTACATAAAAAATATGAAGACAGACCAAAAATTTCAAAATGAAGTCATTTCATGGAGTTATCGCAATAAACTACATCACAAAAGGAAATAGAAGGAACAACAAAAGGTTATAAAGAGAAGAAGTTATCAGAATAGCTTCATAGTCTTCTTTAGCCAGATGATAGAACATCTTATTGCTATACTGTCCGGAAAAAAGCAAAAATAGTCACATGACTAGGTTCTACGTTTTAAAGGATGCGCATTCACTGTATTTTCTTGTTTTTCTTTAAGCAAAAAATTTGAACTATCATACATCTAAACCAGTTTTCATTAGTTCTTCTCTTTGCTCCTGGTTCTGAACTAGAGTACAATTTCACATAATGTTAGTCAACAGAACAAAAAATACGTCTGTATGCATTTCTGATGAAGTACATGACGCTTGCATCTTTGAGTTGCATACTACTGTTCTATTGATCTCCAAGGTTCCACATTTTATGAACATCCGAATGACTTATTAAGACCAGACATAACCGCAACAATACTAAGATGCGAACGAAATCTAAAATCTGATGTATGGGTATTGGACTAGTACATGAACTACACCTATTCCGTGACGGCACTCTCTCGTAATACACCATTTAAGCATTCACTTTGTTTTTCTCCCCGTCGTGTTTTCCTTTCACTGACAATACTAGACATTTCAAAAGCTTAGAGAGCGAAGACCGTCAGGTATGCTGTGTTCAAGTTGTGCTTTGAATTATTTCATTATAGCATTCTGAATTTTTACATGACCTGCGCGGATCTCATTACTTTCATTCGCTGCATTGTGTCCATCAACCAGGATGAATAATGGGTTCGACTATAACGTAAGCCAAAACGAGGTTTCAGATATTATCTATTCAAGTAGTTGACGTTCCGGCGGTTTCCTCTTCTCCAGAACCAACTTATAAGTCCTCCAGACAAGTCCAGGCATTACGAGTCCGTGTGATCTGTGTCCGGTGATCTTCACGTGAACAATTTAATAAACGACTTATAAAAAGCGGCTCTGTACAAAAGGAAACGCCGAAACGTCCGCAGTTCAAAGGAATAATCTTATAAAAATCGAATAAGAAAGGATTTGTCTTGAGAATGACAACGTAAACATCCAATCTTTATCTCAAGCTTCGCGAACTGATTTCCATAGTGATACGGCTTCATTCTTGTTCAGTTCCGGTGTCTAAGCCAGGTTTTGAGCGTTTGCCTTCCCACCTCAATTTTTTTGTCTCTCAGTTCTTGAGTTCTACCGATAATGAGTAGTGTAAAAGTATTACGTTAGTAGTATATGTGAGATATGAAATATAAAAAAGCATAAAAGTACGATTGTCAGCATTCCTGTGATAGAAAATCTACGCTGTTCCTTATCAAAGTTTATTACAACCGTTTGAACTTTTGTAACTTCAACAAGAACAGTTCTAATTCTGATAGCTATACTGAGTCACAATTATCATATAGCGCATATGGGTATAAAAAATAACGAAACAATCACAAAGTTGCAAAACACGAATTGTTTCGAAATTGTAGTATTTTCGCTGCTTTTTCGTAGTGTTATGATGTTACTTATATAACTAAAGAATTAAGTGGTGAACAAAAACACGGCCTCAGGCGGAAATCGAATCCACGTTTCATCCTATCCGGGGACGCGTGCTCTTCCACTATTACCACTGAGGCACATTTATCCGACCACTCATTATTCAACATCTCTATGTTAGCTATCAGCCACCAACCTTCAACAGGTTTGGTCGGATATGCGATTTCGCTTTCTAAATTTCTTTAAGCTAATTGTATCCCAAATAGAGTACGAAGTTAGTGGAGTTACCAAAAAAAAAACTTGAACAATATTGTGGAGTTTTTTCTTACGTTTTGCACCTTTGATATAAAGAAACACCGAAGACTTACTTCATTTACTTTGAGAAAAGTCTGCCTTTTTGAACACTCTTTTGCTCTGAGAAGCGAACCGACCTGGAAATGGTCTGTCCTCCTGTAAACTCTCGGAATGCTTTTGCTCTTACGGTTAACCGATGGTCAACTCGAATGAGTGCTTTTCAATCGAAGATCGGAGTGATGCTTCCTTATTTGGTGGGCACGACAACTGAATGGTAATACTAATCTTGCGGACACGACGCAGTTCAGAGAAAATATAAAACTCGTAAGAACGATTGAATTGGCATTTACCTAAACGAAATAAATAAGGAAGTTAATAACCAACATCAACTCTAGGACAGGTTTTTTCTGGACAAACATCCACCATACAGACCACATCGATTTGTTCGCTACCGTCGATACGAAAAGCCGAAAGAGAGGATTCCCAACCTTTTTCAGCCAATTCCATACGTGTCATCAGAGAAGGCAAAAGTGCACATCTGTAGTGTAAGAAACGTGAGGTTAAATTCAACCTAGTAAGATCATAACAGTTGAACAAAAAGTACGGTCCTTTCTGTTAGACGGCGACAAACGAAGAAGCGACCCCATTTGGTAGACAAGAACTTTTCATAAGAGTGTTAATAATCATTCGACAGCCTAAAATCTCTGGCTACTACGTAGCATGGCCATGTTTATATGAGTCTCTCTGTAACGCCGTAAACTGGAAATAAAGTTGCACTTTATACCAGGCGTGAGTTTTCACTTCTTTTTCGCTGGAAGCACAAAAAGCATATCAATGTGTAAAGGAAATCTTGTGCTATCAGAGTCATACGTTCATTAAAGTTTCTTTCAAAGCAAATGAAACATCGCGAACTAAATAACAAAAATTGCACTCCATATGTGTAACGTGGAGCGCATGTGGTTAGAAGTCCTCTGCGCCGCACATGATGTCAATGGTTCGATCTCGCGCTCATGGCTCACCAAACCATCCATCCCTCTGGTGTCGGTAAATTGGTACCAGACTGGTCTCAGAATTTTCTGGGAGGATAAACAGCACTGACTTGGTTCAGCGGGAGGCCACCGCGAGTTATTGTAAAGGTTACATACGCATCGCATTCAATCACCTCAAACGAAGCTAAAATCTGAAGATGAATACATGGTTCATCTCTTAGGGATTGATCAACGCCGAGAGATTGATCCTTATATCATTCATGTGTAACTCGTGAGCACGATCGGTCGATCCATCGCCGTATGGAATCCACTGCCAGCTCCCTCAGCACACACATCAGCCAACAAAACAGAGCAGCATACATGAAACACAATATTGTTTGCCCTGCTACATTACAGAAGCAGTACTTCCAGAAAATAAACAACAGCTTGGAGTCATCGAAACTTACCCTAACGAATGGCTACCTACAAGTTAAAGAAAGAGCTCTGTCCTGTGAGAACTTGCGTGCGTAATACACAAATGTTTACCTTTTGCAAGCGTTATAATATTGGTTTTTCATAAAACATTTACGTAGCGCAGTAGCCAGAGATTTGGGCTTTCGAATGATTAATAAAGTGCAGTGCAAAGTCTTTGTTCAGCGAAGAGGGTGTTTCTTCATTTCTTGCCGTTCAACAGAAAAGATCCAGAAGTACATTAGATACTTTATTATCCTTTCTCATAATGTTTTCACTGTGCGGATCTCAGTACTTCTAGCAAATAATCGTTTTTTGTTCTTCTTCTTCTTCTTGAATGTCGTAGAGTACATGCTGAGCGTGTCTCCGTACAAGCTACAGAATAGGCTGGCTGTGGCGTTCCATGGAGCGTTCGCTGTTGACTGGCGATAATTGTTGTGAGGTGGGGTTCGGCCCTACGCCTAAGTACATTTTCCGCTTCCTCGTTGCTTTTTTTACTTTTTTTCACTGTCCAGAACTCAGTACTTTGAAAATTCAGTCGCCTTTACCCCTTCTTGAACGCCGTAAAATACTGCTTGAGCGCGTCTCTTTGCATTCTTGACGATAGTGTGGCTGCGGGAACAAAAGCTATTTTTCAAACAATTAGGATTAGAGATTTTCAGCCCTTTTCTGATTTCGAAAGCTTCAGCATCATGATCAGCTCGTCTTACTATCGACTCAGAACCTGTTCACTTTTGGTGTATGCCTTTTTGCCTATATGAGTTATTGTAATAAATGGCTTAGAATAACAAAAGAAAACATTCAAACCCATCAGCTATCAAAGAGACGGAAGCTGGCGGTCCTGTGCCACCTATTCGATGAGCAGTACAGGCCATTACACGTAGTCGATCTGCTAAAAGGCATGTATTCAGAGGTGAAGCAAGTGTTGATCAAACGAACCAGTATTCATCTAAGAAGCCCTGAGATATCAGCAAAATTTGAAACTTGGGTTAGCTTCGAACCCAGTAATATTTTTTCCATGACTCACTAAGCTATCCATTACACCACCAAAATTTTCGATCTACTTTTTTTTACCTCCTCATAAACGTGATGTATGACTCGGCCTTCTCGAATATGTGATGTAAACCAAGTTACGAGTTTTGCTCGTATCTTAACACTCCTGTGGTTATACCTCTCATCGTTTGCTGCCGTTTAAAATGACTAAGGCAGAAAATGAAAATTAAATATCGTATTTTAAGTCTGCCTATCCCAAGAAGGACTTCATTTTCTCTTCATTCCTTTCCTTCCCTGCTTGACACCTTGAACGACAATTTTTTCTTTTCAGTGCTTAAACGCTTCATCATATGCGCGATATATCACTGAACATCGAATCATTACGTAGAGAGGGGACTCATCAACCAGCTAGACCACTTGAACTGGTAAAGTACCTGACCATTGCGCCCGGTAGCAATACTAGTAGTGATTTGACGCTGGGACGCGGCCCTGGAAGGAGTTTGATTGGAGAGCTCCGCTCCTTCCATAAATGACGGTCACTGCCAGTGTTAGAGACCTGAGTTCGCTCAAACGGCGTTTTGGAATATCACAGTAGAATTTTACTAAGTCACAAATGTGTAAGATGAACGAAGATTTTGTTGGAGATTCTAATCATTAATTCTTGGTAAAAACGGTCTTTTATCACATTCTTAATGACGTCTAAATCCTTTCGGCGAGAACATAAGTGAAGATCTAGATTTTACTAGACTCATTGTGATCCCAGTGGAGCTCACGCCGGCCATCATGTCTTTGAGACTGGAAGCGGGCCCCTATCTTTGTTACATGTTTCGGTTATCCTCCGCGTTTTGAGGTATTTTTTGCTCTTTTCTTCTTCCTATGTAATCCTATGTAAGCTTCGTGACTTACTCGCCCTTCATGTTTTTCGTTCAAATACCCCTTAATGCAAAGAATAAGCACTTGTCTATTGCTTGGTGAAAATAGCGTTAGATATAGGATGAGTAAAATACTACGATCTAGACCTCATGTTTTTGATATCCTCTAATTCTAAAGAAATTTCAAAAGTTATTAGCTAATAAAGATCAAGAAGCGAGAAATTGCCTGCCAACAATAATGCTGCACACTGCATGCGATGCCGGTTCATTTAAGCAGAAGCATTTCCGCACCTTTTCACGGGCTACACTCTCCACACCGTGCACTCTTCTCAATAGCAACAGCCTTTCGAAGGCAAAACGTGTTTGTAAGGATAATGAAATGTGAATGGTAACCGCTACTATCTGATACGAGACATCTTTTGTTTTGTGTGGTTAATGTTTCAATCGTTGCAGTTGTTACAAATACGTCCACCGCCAAGTCGGAGCAGCGTGGCGCAGTGGAAGCGTGCTGGGCCCATAACCCAGAGGTCGGTGGATCGAAACCACTCGCTGCTAGCCTTTCATCGCTTCATTTCCCATGTTTTTGCCAGCACGATCGATAAAACATCTAGGCTTCTGTGATAGTATATTCGCTTGTAAATGACTGTCGCTGATTTTTGATATCTTACTCTTACATTCCTTCTATTAACAAGTGCTTAGTGCTTCCATTATGGAAGTATCAAGGCGCAGCAGAAGTTTGTTGGGCCCGTAGCCCAGAAGTCAATTAGTCAACACCATCCGCTGGTAGCAGCTTCACCTCGAATTCGTAACAGATCATATCTATACCGATCTGATGAAAAACACGTTTAGTCGCTCTCAAGAATACCAACGTCTGAGTGATTACAGCTGTCTACTGATATTCAACAGGACCTTCCAGCAAATAATATTTCACTACTATTCCGCCTGACGCGAAGGTTTTGCACATCACTCTACTTCGATGGGTATATTTCATTTTCATTAGCAGCCATCCACATGGATCCACCTTAGCGCAGTAGGAGCGTGTCATGCTCCTCTCCGATCACAGTTCACTGGATCTATACTTGAAAGACGCATAATATGCAAGATATAGCAAGCACAATCATATCATTCTATAAAGTGTTTTCTTAAAACCACGCTCAAGGCCAATATATCTGATAACTAATTTTTTCATGAGCCATACATGTGGTCTGTAAAGAGGCAACCTATAGAGCCCAATACGCGTATTTCGGCCTTGACAGCCTCCTTAGTTGGGTACTCTTCGTCTTAACTAATCCTCGCCAAGGAACTCAACCCGCTACATAGAGAAAGAGCAGACGTATTATTTACATGTGCCGTCAAGTCAAATAAATCGCTAGATCGGCAGTACTGTACATTCGTTGCTCTTCGCCAGTATTTACAAAATATCATTCCGTTCGTCTCGAGTGTTCTCTTGAGAAAATGCTGTATTGGGCTCTGAAAATTGTCCATAACAGGCCACATGAATAATTATTAGATATATTGAAATTTTGGCGTGGTCTTATAGAA